TTCAGAGCGCCCTTAATTCCTTGTGCCATAAAAACATTCTTCAGAAATTTTGGTCCACGCTGGCATGACCATATCACGCAGTTGCCGCACATCCATGATGCGATGCCCTCCAAAGGAAATAACTTGTATTGGAATAAAAACTATGTAATGAAATGTCACAAACCTCAAATCATCTCAAACTGGTTTCTTAAAGATGACAATGAGTTAAGTGAACTGTAATGGCCTCTACAGTCACCAGATCTCAAACCAGTAGAGCACCACTGGGGTGTGATGGAACAGGAGATCTCTCAAATCTCTGAAAAATGTTTCCAGCACTTTGTTGACTCTGTGCCATGAAGAAGCAGTTCTGAAGGCAAAAGTATATACGTTTTTTTCCCCTCAGGTCAGTAAAAGTAGAAAACTCTGTGAAGGAAAAATCAATTTAAATGTTGTGCATATTTTAAAACAGCCTGCAGGGGGCGACTGTGGTTGTATAGAAGTCTCAGCTTCCTTAGTAAACTGTTTCCTGATGAGTTTCGGGGTTCAGGTATTCAGGTACTGAGGTCAAACTGAATAAAGCATGAAACTCATTATGGTCTTTAATTAAGTCCGAAAGAGGACAAGCCAGTATATGCTCATTGTCTAACAGAACTTTAACCACACCTCAGTAGCCAATGAGCCAGTGACTATTAGTTTTGTGGTTAGAGCCTGTTCGTTGTGACCGGTTTTAAGTGTTCAGCTTGAGGTTTTATGTGATGTCATGGTGCCTTCATCCATCTTTTATATACAGTCTATGGACAGTGCAAACTACAAAGATGTCTTTTACCTTTAAAGTCAGCTAAACATAAATGGGAAAAAAATTGATTTCAAACTGAGACACTTGATCTTATTACCAAGAATCTCCACAAACATCCTTCTCCCTCATGACAGACACTTTTAGGTAAATTGCTTCTGAGCAGTCAGTGACTAGACTGTGGTTGAATTTGACAGCTCCTGGCTGCGAATGCAATGATAAAAGTGTCTGTATGCAAGTATGCAATCATCTCTGCAACAGCGACGTCTCTTGTCACTCAATTATATACATAAAACAAGGCCA